TGGTAACTCAAACAGGGAGAATAGTTGTTGTCGGGTGTTGGTGAATGCTGGCATGTCACCCAAAATGTTGTGGCGTGTCACCTTTGACATGCGTGTCATAGGTTTGCCATCACTGGTTTAGCAAGTAACTGCTTGTACAGGAGCACTGTATTGTTTCAGTGTCGGTCTGTCATCTGCACCAATGGCCTTGTTATGGGGTTTTCTGGATTTATGGCAGAAGGCTGTAGGCTTGTGATTATGTCAGTTTCATTGTTTCCAAGACAACTGTCTGGCTCCTAATGGTGGTTTCTCTATCCAGCATGCTTAGGGACGCCTGCATTAAGACTTTTTAAGACTGTATGATTCTCTCCTTATATAATGTTCTGAATACTATATAAGCTTTCAGGGACTGAACAGAGAATCAGTATTGGGCAGCTCCTCAACTCCACAAGTGATAAATGTTGGATAATTGATGTTCTCTGAGCTTGGTGGTTTTTCTGCAGATGTTTTGTTACCAGGCTAGGGAACACCATCCAGTGATGGTGTCATCTAGCATGGTAACAAAAGGCCTACAAGAAAACAACCGTGGTTAGAGAACTCCAGGTATCCCAAGAGTTCAAGTCTGAGGTATGTAAATTCTCTATTATTGGGGCAGTGATAAATATGAAGGGTGGGGGGGGAATCACCTTTTACTGAGCAGCCCTCCTTCCAGCTTTTCATTAGGGAGCCCTTCTTAAATTGCACCTTCTAGCAGGTTTGTGACATCCTGCAAAGGAGTGCATATTTTTCATAGGAGGATGTTTCACTCTCTGGTGGGAAAGGATCCTTTTGAAAGTTTTAAACAGAGTCAAAAAGAGGTGGCAGAGTCTCTTTGCTATGACCTGTCTCAAGAGAACTGGTTGTTCCTTCTGCCTCATGAGGGTCAACAGGACATTTTTAAAGGCAAAGCACACAAATTTGTTGTGTGAAAATCTTTGAGAAGGCTCAAGCAACCTTTTTTAATGCTCTGTTCCTAATGATCAGTGCCTTTTTTCCCTCTCCTGCTTTCTGGGCAATTAATTAAAATGAAGAAATGCAGCTCCTACTAAGGCATGGATGTTCAAGCAGAGCTATTATTGCTCTCTGTTGAGCTTCTGTTACTGATTTAGTCACTGGAAGCCCCAGGCATGGTCATATTAACAAAATCCATGTGTGAGTGGAATGCATCTTGGGAGTGATCCTGTAAATATTAAGGACTTCTGACATACAACCGTCTCATAATCCTTGTCAGGCAGGTCAAGAGGACTTTTGCTATACTTTGTATTTCCTAGAGGAGTCAATAACTTTCTTTCTCTGTCGGAGGGAAAGCAAATGATGCAGTTGGGGATATTTCTCATTTTATGAGCAATAAACCTTGTTCTCCATTGATGCACTAGTTCATTAAGGTCTATTTTTTTTTGTCTCAATCAGAGTCTTTGCATGTGAATTGATTTTCCGCAACAAGAAACATAATGCCCATTATGGAATAATAATGTAATTAAATTGCCGTTTTTCACCTGAGTCAGTGCAGGAGTAGAATGTTCAGTGTCTAGGTTCAGATGTTTTGAAATCCAAGGAGAACAGCTTGTGGGGCACCTGTGGCAGGTTTTCCACTGATGCTAGATTTACTCCTGGAAGACCTTATAATGGTGCTTCTCAGCTCTGCACTGGAACCAGTATATATTTGGAAGGACTAGTTTTGTTATGTAGTTCCTCCTCTGTTTCCATTTTCTGCTGCCACCCTGAAGGACCAGGTTAGGGACAGGATATCTTGGCAACAATCTATCTCTGTGGTTGCTAAGAGTTGACACCAACTTGATGGCCCATAATTGTTGTTGTTGTTGTTCAGTCGTTAAGTCGTGTCCGGCTCTTTGTGACCCCATGAACCATATTGCGCCAGGCCTTCCTGTCCTTCACTGCCTCCCTGA